TCAAGCAAACGAAGTCACTCTACCAAGTAATCTCAAGCGGACGAGTTCATTTTACCAAATTGAATTGAAAATATATGGGGAGCAGGCGGATTCGAACTCGGATCCGCAGATCACGAGTCCGTCGCCTAACGCGCAGAGCCACACGACTCCCCTTTTTCCCGCTTGGGATTGTCAAAATAAATCCATTTTTCATCGTCAGTCACGATGTGCCACAAAAAAACTCTTTTTTCTTTACCTGGCAAACAAAGAAGTCCCAATCGACAAACGATTCAAAATGGCATTTTCTAACAACTCATGTAGCCATATCCCTTCCTTATGAATCTTTCCCATGGCATGCAAATGTTTTGAGACAGCCTTTGAAATAACATTTAACTCTTTCGATGACTCTAAAAGCATTTAAGCTGGATTGTCTTCAAGCAATTCTTGCAGCTCGACATCTTCAAATTTTTCGACTGTCCTGGACGTTCTTTGTCTCTCACATCAAAATCACCGTTTCGGAAGCGTTCAAACCAAACTCTACATGTTCTTTCCGATGGAGTTTCATCACCATACACTTTGGATAATAAGCGATGCGCTTCAGCTGCGCCTGCGGTTTTCTTGAAGTCGAAGTAGTGAAGAAGCACATGTCGGAAAAACAGCTTATCGCGACTCATTTTCAATCGATTGGAAAATCTGTTTGGCGTCGAGAAATCTAACCTGTGTGAATTGAATCACTTTCAGCAACGTCTAAACTACAAAAAACATACACGGCTTCATCGTCGAAACTCGCCAGCGTTAGAGCCAGCACTCTCTAGCTGTCTAGCAGCGAGCGACAGGAATTAAGTTCAACACCTATTATAATAATATATATATTTAATGCACGTATCGCAGGTTTCTAGTAAAAATTATGCAAGCCTTCATATAATTGTTATTACAATTATATGAAGGCTTGAATAATTTTAATATAGGATATGTGGTGATAATCAAGTAATTAAAGTGTTGTCATCAGTAAAATAAAGTTTGACGATTTATTTAATAGTGCAGTACACAGCGCGTTTATAACTTGAATCGTGTCTAATATACGTGTGGACTTTGCAACTTGCGTTCTCAGGATCCGTTTCTCTGCTTTGTCTTTATTGCTTGAGATCGTTCTTATATAAACGTATCTCCTTTCGAAAGTCAATGTGGTCCTTAGTCCAATATACATTTAAACATTACTGTTAAATTGAAAAGACAAAAATCGTTTTAATCGCATAAAAAAATGGACTAAAATTACTATCGATACCTATATATAGAAATGTAGACAAATTATAACAGGATAGAAAAGATATTTGCACCAATCTAAAAAATAAGAAAAACGAAAAAAAAAGTTACGTGTTTAAAAAATTGTATTATTATATATTAAGGACAATCGTTAGAACTATAAGTAACAGAATGCCGGATTTCTAAAAAAAATTCTTTTCAGAAATTCAATATTTCCTTAAGAGTTCTGGTAGCTTCTCAAAGAGTTCTATCGATTATCTTATATCTATATGGATCAAAATGGTCGTTAAAATGAAAGATAAAGTTGTAGGCTTTTAAAGTTTCGGAATCGTGAAGTTACCTCCTTTCCCCGACACTTTAAATGATGTTTTCACCGCTTTAATCGATGGAACTCTTGTTAAAAGCGATATAGAACTTTTAGAGGAGCAATCAGAACTACACTTATTTTTTTTCAAATTTTGAAAAAGTAGAGCTAGCTTTACAGAAGTTTGCTACCAGGATGTTTACAAAAATCAGACTGACATTCTGGAATTAAATATATATGAATATGTATGTGTACATGTTATTTATATTCATATATGTAGTTATTTTGTTTAGAGAGATAACTTATATTACATCAATATCCTGTATAAACTATTTTATAAATCAAAACAAAGAGTTCGATCATAGTATACTCGGTACTCTATAGAAGTAACTGATAGTAGGAAAAGCACAGATGATAACGACGATTAGATGCAATTACGTTCATTACTACCGAACGCTTATTAGATGACTGCCGGTTAGTCATGGGATTTCCAAGTTGACATTATTTGAAAATGTTGCGCCCACGTGCGTGTATGTGTGCGCGTGAGTGCAATGCAATTAAGTATTATTTTTTAATAATTTGTCTACTGGACAAAGTTGCTTAATTTAATCACACATTCAATTATGCAAATATTATTTAATCAAATATTTGTCTAGCGGGATTATAATTTTCATTAATCTATTGTTATGGTAATTAACAAGTAATTTTCATAAATATACAAATTATAGTTGAATATTTGCAGTAATCAACAATGATAATGTAAGAGTCACATTTAAATCACGAAGAGCATTCATTCTGAGAAGCTTTTATTTTATCGTATTAATTTATCCTACTATAAGCAGTGGCTCTAAGTTTTAAGTGCAGACGCCTGTATGACGTCATGCTTAAATTATTTAATTTCTCAGTAATGCACAGAAAACAGACAGCCATGTATATTCCAGGAAAGCTTCTTTCTTTGCAGCATTTTATCAGCTATTATAATAACATTGAATGCCACAAAAGAAAGAAAGAAAGAATTCTACAACTGATGGACACTAATTAATTACTTAATGACAATAATGAAATCATACACAGATACATTTACTGTGTTCGGAAATTTTTCTAAAATTAAGTATTTTAAAAATGTATTCCACCATTCTTTAAAACAATCAAAAATGTTTTGTATTACATATAGGATTACATGAATTGTACATATTATACAAATTAAAAATACAAAGATAAATTTCTCTCTCTCTCTCTCTCTCTCTCTCTCTCTCTCTCGAAATAAAAAATAATTTGCGATATATGTAGATAATATTACTTCAAAAATGTAAATATGGTTAATATATTACTTAATCTAATATATATATATATATATATATATATATATATGTATTTTACTTTGATAACTAAGCTTTAATATGGATAGATAATAATCTATTCTATATTAAAAATATTATTGCAGACAAGTCCATATTATAACTCACAGTTATACCGTACATTGTTCAAGTTTATTATTGACTCAAGCAGAATAAGCGTAACTGGAAGCCTGCAGACGTGGTCAATGCGAAGTTCTTAATTGTGGCCGTTATTGTGTTTATTTTTTCACCTTGCGGTTACTTTGTTTGTATATTTGCCTACATTTTCTATTGTATTATTTTTGTCTTTTGTTAATTTGCTTTATTTCAAACTTTTATTTTTTAATTTTATTTTACATTATTGCACTTGCAATTCGATAGTGTTCCATAATAAAATAAATAGTTTCTTTATAAATCTATAGAAGTATTTAATAAGCTTAAAATAAACATGTATTGTGAATATCATTTATTACACATATTGGCTTCCCGCTATCATATATATATAAATATTGTATATAAAATTCATATAAGTTTAATGTCGTGGTAAAAATATATCTGTAGCTTAATATTGCATCGACTGACAAGAGATGAAGGCGTCGCATCACGGTGATAAACGCATATGTGCTTCATTCTGTTCTTCAGTATGCTTGTGTCGATCGTAGGCGACGGATGTACTACACTGTTGTGCATGTGTTCTTCTGAACTCTGCAAGTGCTCCGGAAATATTAATAACGAGCGACAAAGATCGAAACGCTATCAGACGAATAAACTTCACTTTATGACATAAATTATTTTTATTTATTTCTGAAGAGTAAATTAACACATATTAACTTTTCGATATTTATAAAAAGTGAAGTTTATAAAGTATATGTGTAAAATGAGAAATACTGAATTATAGTAGGCCGAAGTGTAATTTAAACTGATAAACTAATATTGTGTTAATGTTAATTGCAATATAATATAAAAATTTTGATAACTATGTTCGAAAATTAAATTGTGAAACAAGAATTATCTAAACCAGGATAAAGTATATTTCTTCTTAAATATTAATTAAACATCGATAATAAACATTTTATATATTTATCGATAAGATTCTAAAATTACATTAGATTGATCACATTAAGTTGGAAACTATACGTAATCAATTAACGATAAATGCAAAAGTAAATGAAGTATTTAATATTATTTTGGAATTACAACAGTTAAGAAAGAAAAATACAAATTTCAAGTAAAAAATTATTACAAAAATAAATTCAAGATATTACTATTATTAAATTCATTGTAAAAGAAATTTCTGTTGTTCTTATGTTACAATTGTTTAATAAAACTTATGCAACGTGAATATAGATGTAAATTTACAGATAATTGAAAATAATCTGATTAAATTGGATTCGAATAGAAGTCAGATAGAAGTGAGAATTAGATTGGATCAGCAATTAAATCTCAAACATATCAAAATATTAATACTGCTTTATTGTCAAAATTTATTTAATTATTTTTATAAAGATTGGTACATCTGAGAACTCTTTTCGAAATGAATTAATGTTTTTTCTTAATCCTTCTACTTTAATTTTGAAATAAACATGATCTGCTCCTTTTTTCTTCTTTTGCCGCAGGATAAAAGTGCGGAAAAATGACAGGGCTCACAAAAGAGTGAGAGAGAAGAAGCAAGAATAGAGAGATTCTCTTGTAGTTCTCTGCCTTTAGGGGGGGAAAAAACTCACCGGACGGGTTTTAAAACGGGACAGGACCAGTGTGGGATATTTAACATCTCCGTATGTCGTAAATCTTCGAAAATGTACTGTACAATTAGGTGAACGCGTCTATTCCGCGAATGCGGAAAGCTTCTCACCGATTTCTTTCGGAATTCGATATTTTGTTCTCACGATCATTTAGACAGAATCTTATTCTTTTTCGTTATATAATGTATTATATCGTCATAAATAGTGAGACTCGAGCGCAAAACAAGACACATCTTAGTTCTCTATTATCTCCTATCTGAGTCCAATTGACTGAAATGTGATTAGCATTCTTTGCGATGATTAAAGTGTTTGTGTTTGTCCGCTTACAAAACTTAAATGAATGTGTTTAATAACGATAACATATCAATTACAAGAAAAGAGTTTGCATCTTATCAATTGGTAATAATAAAACTGATCACATCAGAATTTATAGAAAGGAATATGGCTTTTTCTCCTTAGAATTATAGATATATACGAAATTTCTTAAAGTCGATATCAAACTGGAGACTGACAACACGAGATCAAGATTGAAATTGAATTTAATAATCAATCAAGGCAGAATTTAATAAACTTTTATTTAGTTTTCTTTCTTTTGGTTGATTAGTTTCCATGTCTTGAATCTCAATGTCTAGTCGAATACAAGTTTATTTAGGGCATATATAAATTTAGCGCGGAAAATAGTTAAGTATTAGACATTTACATTTAAATGCCTATAAACGTATGACATGAATATAAGATGCAATATTTAAATTGAGTAGTCTATCTAGAAAATTAATTCTCTATAGGGTGAACATGTTGATATACTAGAGAGCAAAGAATTTGCAGCAACGTGTAACTTTTATGGAAGGATGGTTTCTTGACACATTGTAAAATCGATGCAAGGATGAAACTCTTCGTCTATCATCAAGTCAAATCGTGAAGATACATATGAACATGTAAATTTTATTTGCGTTGAACTTACACGGACACATACACACGCATAATAATCATCCCGCTGAAAATCGTTTAATTTCCGCGATGACGTCTATGCTATCCGGAGAAGAAAGCAACCCGGTGAGGATGAAGCAAAAGTTAATGAGAAACGTACCTGTCAAGGAGGAGACGAGGTCATTCCTAAACTTTTCGCGGGAAAACTTAAGCATCTCGCACTCTGACCTCGAACAAGGGTTCAATCGGTCGCGGCTCGTAAGACCAAGCAGAAATACGATTCTGAGCGTGGCCGCTCTTATGGCCGCTGTTGTCTGCTTCGGCCTTCAGAGCTGGAAGCTATTGTCGAACACTCGCGAAATTGAACAGCTGAGAAGAGACGTCGATATCTTGAAGCATCGGTTTCTGGAGCAGGATCTTATGAACGAGCTAAAGGCTTTCGAGGAACAGGTAGGTTCCTGCACTAATTGGCGAGCATAATTATCGAATTTTTTCTTTGTAAAGTTATTTAGGAAAAAAGAAAAATAAATTGCGTTTCTTTTTATCCTATTTACTATTAGTAAAATTAGTTAATCAATGCAACTCGTGATGTATATCGACACGAGGAAAGCAATAAATGATATAGTCATTTTTCCATATTATGTGAATTTTCACGTATCTCAGTAAGCAAAAAATCATTACTATAACGTTACAACAATATTTATCAATATGTAATGTTTCCAAATATATTATATTTAATATTATATACACAACATATCATTATGAACAAACATTGATATATTTGATGGTTTCTATAATATTGATATTTTATTATAACGTTATAAATCAATATCAAATCTTATTGGACCGTCAAAGTTTTAAACTATAAATATCGAGAACGTGTTAATAAATTACTATAATATTTTTTCGCAATATAAATTAATTATTTAAAGATTTTTAATAAGTCATTTATAGATTTTAATATGTCATTCAACATTATTAAGATCCAAATGGTTCGCACTGTTCCTTAATCTAATCTGCGACAATAGCAAGGTCCATCTCATCGGCCTCGTCTCCCTTTCAAGAAAAAGGGTCTTGCTCCTCCTCCTGCTTATTCCCATTTCAGAAAAATAAGATGAAAATTTTAAAGTAAAATGAGGAAAAAATTTTAATATATAACGAGGAAAATTTTGACAGGAAGAAGAAAACATTTCAAATTATTTGAATAGAAACACTAATTTAGAGGCTCACAGCGGTATACGCAGTGCAGTGCGTTTTCCAAGCCATATCTTTGCACCTCACGATCCGTAATAGTCTACACGATTTTTTAAACATTTCCGATGGTTAGATATAATGCTTGAATTGCTGCAAAAGGCCATTTTGAATAATATCTACATTAAGCAAGTGATTTAATTTAACTTGAATAAATAATTAAAAAAATACAAAAATAAATTAAATTAAAAAATACAAAAATGAAATCTACGTTTTGTCTTTTTTGCGATTTTCTCCAAAACAAAGCAAAAACGAACATATTTCTACAAGACTTTTTTCTTAATTTGATTTCCCACAGACTCCCGAAATTTTAATTGTCAAAATTTAATGAAATTTAAATTTCAGACACCCTGTATACTTATGTTTATATCAATGAGTATCGTACATTCGTGTGCGTGCGTGCGTGCGTGCGTGTGTGTATAGTTATCGAAAAACCAAAAATTTATAAGTATATTTTATTTACATAGTCTGAAAAAAATAAGTAATGTAAGATTATTACTAATAATCAACTCTCTCTTATATATTTCATTCGGCTACCTTTTCGGTTTATTCCCCGTTACCGAAGATCGCACGGGTCTGATCCCTGATTAAATGGATTAAGTCACTTGATTCAAAAGAGAACCGCCGAGTACACTATCCTAAACGAGGGTAATATAGCGTCGTGATGTCAACGTTGACATCGAAGGTCCATTCAAGTACTTCTGATTTATATAGCACGATAATCAGAGCGATAACCACAAGCAAGACGTCAGTTAGCGTCCTTTGCTGCATCCTCCTGTTTTCTATGTTTTTCGTGAAATCATTAATATAGTAAAAGAATCCTAGGACTTAGACGTAACAGTACACACACACAAACAGAGAAGAAGGGATACATAACTGGATAAATTTAAAAAATATTTATTTTGCAGAAAAACAGTTTTAAAAGGTAAAATTATTCCTTATACGAGTATGTACTATTCGATATAAAAAACATAAAGCAAAAACATCCAGCAATAGACTTAAATGCCCTTGTTTGACTCGTATAACTCGATTCAACTTATCTGACAATTATTATAGATGCTTTAATCAAATATCAAAATATAATTAAACTATCAAAGATATTAAAAAATTTACAGTTGAAGTTATATCAATTATTTATAAAAAAAAAAGAATTTTATTATTAGAATAAAATTTCTATATAGATACTAGAATTTCCCATTATATATTACATAGAGCGGTAGTTCATACCGCTTTTAGAAGCAGCAATTACTTCAATTGTCCTCAAAAGGAAATCATACCACAATTACTATTACTAATGCGTTTCCACGTATCAGACATTCGTCACTAATTGACAACACCAATTTAACTACGTGATCGTATAGTTGCAATGCTTGATGGAAGATTTCTGTGAAACATATAGGATATTTGTAGTATACATATACAGAACAAGCCGCGTGATCCTATGAAACAGTTTACATGCAAATGTACAACACATTGTAGCTGTATGCTGAAGAGTCTACCGAGGATAATGATCCAAACGAGACAGACATTGATAACGCCGATTACGACTCTAATTACGACGATGATGGTTCCGCATTACACGATTATTCCGGCGACTACTATACTCCCTTGACTTATGGCGCCAGACCGTCAGATTTTCTTGACAGTACGTCTACGTCGATACCAATACCTACGTCTCCGGATCCCGGTACCAATGAAGACATGATTGAATTGCTGGCAGCCTTGCGTAAGATAGAAGCGAAGCACGGACAGGACTTCGAAAGGGACATACGAGAGAATCATAAGTAAGGCGTTATATTATCTATACATTATTTTATTAAAAAAATCATCTTTTGATTTTACAAAGAATCTTGCCATTTAAGCATTTAATAATGAATCATATATATAATTTATAGAGAAATGCTAAATTATTGAACACTCTATAATATCCGTTGCTAAAAAAGTCTACTAAAATATTAAGGATGCTCCGAATCAACAATATTTGTGAAGTCAAAAAGAGTGAATTTTTAATCATTATTATTATATTATATATAATAAGTAAATTCAATAAAACAAATAATATACATTCCATACGCGTGCTGTTTTTTATTTTAATTATAAAATAATTTTCTTAGTAACCGTTTTTCTTGTTAGCAAAAAAATTTATGGCACGACTATGTATTATTTATGTAAAACTCAGTGGACAAACAACGTTAATTATCTACTTTGAATAGTATTTTTTATTGCATGTAGAAATATCGAACGAGAACGCTTTAAAGGGACACACAAAGAGCAATTAAATTATGAAAAAAAGACGAACGACACAAACAGCACTAGACACAAACCTGATGTTACCAGAGGAGCTACAAATTCAGAATACATCAAAGAGAGTATTAAATCGAAGCGATCGGTGAACGATAGCTTGATTGACGATTTCAAGAGAGAGGAAGCAAATGGCAAACGACATAATACTAGAAGAATTGTTGTACCCAAAGCACGTTCTTATGCAAACAACGAGAACAACACAAATGACAATTTTGGGACAGATCCAACATCGTAAGTATTTACACGGTGTAATTTATAAATTGAAACAAAAAAAATCATGTAAAGAACGTATCAGAAAAATATTTTTAAACATTTTTTATATAAAATATAATCCTTTACAATATCCTTATCAATATATATTACTTTGTTCTCATTTTTAATCTTTGCACTGTTGAATATTCATTTGTTTGTAACCTTTAGTTGATAGATTACAGCTATTATAGTAGTTTAAATCTCTAGAATATCGAGTTTTTTTGGCCTGTCAACTGCAATTTCAGTTTTCGAAAATAAAAAATAGTCAGGGAGATAAACCAAATGCTTGGACCACACAATATGTGTACGTGAGCTTGGTAAAATGTGTTACCTCACTCTAGTTGCATTTTTAATGAGTGAGAAAATTTTAACAAGAATGATACACAGATAAAATTTAAAATCTTTTTTAACAAATATCTTTTGATATTAATAAGCCTGTTTTTGTACAACCTGCAATCTAAGTTTTGAAACAAAACATCAAAAACATTTCTGTTTAAAATAAAATTCTTAAAAATATCAATACCATTCTGCTCCGTTTTTTTAATCCTTACATCACCGTTGATCTTTAATAAGTATAATTCTTAAAAATGTTCAATATGGCGATTGTAGATACATTAAATTAGATGTGTTCAAGAAGTAGAAAGAGATCGAATGTAACGTATATATCTATATATATATATATATATAAAATATTGTCAAATTTATTTATTCCTATTATATATATAAATATATATAATAGGAATAAATAAATTTGATATTTTCAGTCAAATTTATTCCGTTAAAAATCAACTATTTTCTGAGACAGACATCCCCCAAAGAAGTATCACTCCAATGCGCTAGAGACGATTCCCCCGGCGCGCCATGATCGATTAAGCGAAGGAACTACTCAACCTGACAGATATGAAAGTGAAAACATGGAAACTGTAAACGACAGAAGAATTAGCTGGCGAAATCGCGATATCTCAAGAAATCAAACTGAGATCCGACAAATCTTTCAGGTGAGTATAATAATTGTTAAGGGGGATTTTACGCCGCGTCAATAAAATCGGTGCACTAAATTTCTCACAATAGTCGAGTGAACAACACAGAGCGTTGTAATTGAATTAGAATCACGAAGCGGCTGCAAGGGAAAATCACCGGAGATTGACTCGAAGACATTTGCGTGCACCACGGCAGGTTTACGCCATCCATTACGGGGCGGACAGCAGTCTCTTTTCAACGCAGGACGAGCACACTGGTAACGGCAGGGCACGACATTACAATGGCGTTTTTAGGGCATGGCAGCCGAGTGAGTGGGTTGCCGATCTTGGTATGAGCAGACACTTCACACTTGCTGGCGATGGCAAACTTACTGTTCATGAACCAGGATTGTATCTCGTATACGCGCAGATCCACTATCTGGACGAACACGACGAGAATGGCTTTCATGTACTGGTGAATGGCAGGCCTATATTGCAGTGCATGGTAAGAATTGAAAAACACAAAAGGAAGGAATTTTAGTAATTAATGATTGATAAGAAAAGCTGTAATCAATTCAAATATATAAAAGAGCCAAAAAAGCATATTGATTTTTGCTAATTATTATTTACATAATAAATACAATTAAACTATATAAACAAACATTTTGACTTTAAATATGGTTCTCATCATATTTATACATATTTATACAACACACACACACACACAACACACACACACACACACACAAAATTTAAAACAATACATTAACATTTCACTATTCAAATGTGTTCAAATATTATTAAACTAAAAATAATTTTGCTATATAAACACTTACAAACATTCCTTTAATATTATATGAAATTACTAATCAGACAGCAATATATAAAATACACTACTCAACAAAATTAAAGAATCACTTGTTCCACCCTGCAAAAATAGAAAAACTTTGAGATAGAATAACTTCGTCAAAAATCATCGTATCGAGATGTTTAAAAAAGCATTTCAAAGCTTGAAATCTTTACTTTTCAGACCTGTACTTCAAAAAACGGTCTTACTGACATTTCGTGAAGTTGCACAATCATAAATAAAAGTGTCAAGCCTAAAAATGTTTTACAAAATTTGCCAAGTTCCACGGAGCCAAGTAAAAATTGTGCACAAATGCGGTTTACAGCTTTCGAAAGAGTAAATCTTTACCTTCAATTTGTTTTTTTACTGAGCTCTGTACGATTTTTTTTTCACCGAGTTATTCAACGTTGAAATAAAAAGGCTATTTTTACTTAAACGTTAAATAACTCGGTGAAAAAAAATCGTACAGAGCTCAGCAAAAAAACAAATTGAAAGTAAAGATTTACTCTTTCGAAAGTTGTAAACCGCATTTGTGCACAATTTTTACTTGGCTCCGTGGAACTTGGCAAATTTTGTAAAAAATTTTTAGGTTTGACACACTTTTATTTATGATGGTGCAACTTCACGAAATATCAGTAAGACCGTTCTTTGAAGTATAGGTCTGAAAAGTAGAGATTTCAAGCTTTAAAATACTTTTTTAAACATCTCGATACGATGATTTTTGATGAAGTTATTCTATCTCAAAGTTTGCCTATTTTTGCAGGGTGGAACAAGTGATCCTTTAATTTTGTTGAATAGTGTATTTATTAAATATTTATAAATATTTATTTATTAAATTCATCTTTTTAATATTTTGTGAATATTTTTGCGGTTTTAGATTGTACAAATCATAAATATTTATTACAAATATTAAAAAATATTTATTATAAACATTATATTAAATATTACAAAAATATTTATTGTTAATAACATTAGAAGTAAAACTATTTACCAGAAATATTTATTTATATTTATCATATAAATGTTACATAAAAATGTTTAGTTTATGTTTTAATAACATTTCGAATAAATTTTTATATAAAAAAAATATATATAAATTAAATAAAGAAATAAATAATAATAAATATTTGTAAATATTCAATTCATGATAAGTTCTAGCGTGGTATACAAAAATTCGACTTACAAATAAAGGAAGGGGAGATACATATAATATAAAAAAAATCTAATTTCCCCGCATTTCTAGGATATATAAAACTATTTTTACTATTTTATATAGGTTTCAAACAATAACTTTTTATAGTTAACTGAGGTTCCGCAAAAGAATTCCAAAAATCGGAACTTTTTTAACATCCTCCTTTTTTAACAAAAGACTAAACTAAAACATTATTCAATAATAAAATGGATTCAATTATGGTAGTCATGAAAAATATAAAAAATTGTATAAAAGTATAAAATAACAATTAATATCCTATTGTTGTTTTTTTTCAAAATAACAAATATAATTTTCAGGTGTATAGCCCAGGTATGGGACACAAAAGCCGCTCGTGTTTCTCAGCCCAAGTGACCATTCTTCAAGCAGGCGATCACTTAGTCTTGAAGGATATTGGATCAGCTAGATACACTCTTTTCCAGCATGATAAAAGTTTCTTTGGTTTAGTGAAAGTTGGTGAATCGAGACAGCAACAAAGACATCCATCAACACATCAATAATCAGTTTTAAACGTTGTGGAATGATCAACACTAAAACGTGATATACAATTTATAGTCATTGACTTTCCCTATTTTTAAAAGTTAGCTGTAAATTCGCATAATTTGTATCTAATGTAATATATACCCAATACACTTTTAATTTGTGTATGCGAGTCATACATTTAGTGTTATAAACTGCATGATTTTTACCGTAGGATTTTTTATATTTTATTATGTTAATTACACTTTGTGCTATAAAAAGCACATTTTCTGTTTATTAATATTATTTCTGTTTACACAAAAAATCGACATGGATATTTTAATTTTATTCTTTTATAGAATATTATACATATACGACGTATAGACAAATACTATTTGTATAATGTATAAAAAGAAAATAAAAATACAGATTCTTTATTTATATATTATATATTACATATTTTTTATATATACATATATATATTATAGAGTTACACGATATATGGTAATTATTTATAATACCATTTAATTTTTTAATCACGTACGTGATTTTCAAAAATAGCATGATTTGGAACATGTGATTTATTAACATTAATTACATAATATTGTCATTATTCTCACGAAGAATTCAATTTCATCTATTCTTAGTTAAAAGTTTGAAAATCGTAAGATAATTTTTCATAATCACAGTTACACATTTCATCATGTAATTTCATTTCTAATTAAAATATGATCGATTATATTAATTTGAGCCTTACAAAGAAATTCGCGACATTTTCATGAACTTTTTGTATACGTGATACATAGATATAAAAGCACGACTTCTATAATTGCTTACGTTTCAACACTGAAACGTCATTTTCACGGTAACAGCAAAAGCATATCTTTTAGTGCATTATATTATACTATTATAGCTTCAATTTCAAGGAAGTTATTTAGTGTATATTATATTATATGTATATTATTTCAGTAATATTTTAATAATAAGTATAAATCAATACATTCGATGTTCGCCTTTTATATGTTTTCAAAATAGAAAAACTTGATTACTATCCTAATATCCTAATTTTTTGAACAGAATTTGAAGTAAAGAAATTATCATTTTTCTTTTACGGTAAATACTCGACTTTATCTTAATTTACAGGCAAATGAAGGAATTAAAAAAATCTCCATCTCTTACTGACAGTTTAGGCAAATAAATAAATATTCATATGTAAAGAATGAAATTCGTACAAAGATAAATAAACTATAACTTTTTAACAACAATCACTTTTCAAACAAGAGACCGTCTTTAGTTGTTTTTCAGAGTTTTAATTAGAGCTCTCTAGTTTTATATTCTCCAGGAAATGAAATTTCTTTTCTGGAAACACTTTCCTAATAAAGGCGATTTACAAGCGATCTTTATTTATCAATAGCAAGATCACACTAGTTCAAATTTACCGTGTAACGATGACGTATGCTGTTAACAATTCTAATTGGCCAATAAGTATGTTCAGCGGACTCAATAGTTGAGTGAGCGCTCGCTGTTATTGGTGTATTCTTTTAGATTATCCAATCAGAATTTTAAGTCTAGAAGAATATGCCAATAACAACGAGCGTTCACTCAACTGTTGAATCCGCTGAATGTGCCCATTTTATATCATGGTGAAAAGGATTATCATAATTCATGGTATAAAGGCCGCAGCACACACTTTTGCATGACCAGACCTATACGAGAATTAACAAATCGTAATCCTTCTTCTCCCACTTCACGGAAGAGAAGCATTTTGATTGGTTGATTCTCTTATGCGTCATACATTATGCGTCATGCAAAAGTATGTGCTGTAGCCGTAACGCCCGTAACGGATAACCTCATAATAATTGTGGAGAAGCGTTCACTATGTCAGAAAAACGAATTCAAAATAATATTGTAACCTTTGAGGTGTTTTTGCATTTTATGTCAATGAGTATTTGCAGATGTGAGATAATTTTTGCATTATTACGATCGTAATATTTATTTGCGTTTAAAGCTATACGGTACTTTTAATCTGTAGCACTATATTTTTTAAATAATTTTATTTTATTAAGGTAACAAGTGGCACATACATTGTTTATTTATAAAAACGTATACATGAATTTTATATTTTATTAAAATAAGCATTTATTTATATTTATGTCATTGTTGTCAATCTTAGCAATAAGTATTACTTGTATCCTATAATATTATATTATGTCATATTTGTAGGAAGCTGTGAAAGTTGAATAGTAAACTTATTGATAAAACTTTATTCATTGATATTCACAAAATAACTTCAAAATGAGTGAAAATGAGTCTATGTATGGGACAATTTTGTCTCAAGAATCCATCAAAGTGATAGCAGAGAGTATTGGTGTTGGCAATTTCCCAGATGAAGCTGCAAAAGATCTTGCAGAGGATGTTAGTTACAGGTTAAAAGAAATTGTTCAGGTTAGTGAATAACTTTCACCATATATATTTAATTTCCACCAAAAAAGAGAAAAAAGAAATTTATTTCAAATTAATTAAAGATTATGAGTAAAATCCGTTTTTGTATTTATATTGTAAGCATCACCCATGTTTAATATTTGATAGACAACAAGAATAAATTGATGCTTACAGCTTGTCAGCATGAAAACGAAATGCATGGTACATCTCTATCACTTTACTTTTTATTTTTATTTTTAATGACTTATATAAACACATATATATATATATATATATATATATATTCCATATAGCATTTTTATTTTATTAGACTACAAAAAATATTTATAATAATACTTTATGAATTAAATATTTTTATAAAACAGCTATAATAATTGTAATTTTTATAGGATGCTGCAAAATTCATGAGACACGGAAAACGTCAACGAATGACTACACATGACATAGATCATGCACTGAAGATTAAGAACATTGAGCCAACATATGGTTTTTTTGCCAAGGATCACATACCATTTCGCTTTGCATCAGGTGGTGGTAGAGAATTGCATTTTGTAGAAGAAAAAGAAATCGACCTTAATGAAATTGTAGCTACAGCTGGTGGACAGTCATGGCCAAAGCTACCTCTAGAAATTACATTACGAGCTCATTGGCTATGTATTGATGGAGTTCAACCTACGATACCAGAAAATCCACCACCAGTATCAAAAGGTTTTTATCTGATTCCTTGACTTCTATAAGATGTAATAATAAAAAATTGTTCTTCTTTTGGAAGTTATTAAAAAAAATTTAAGAACATATTTTTAAAAATTTAGACATAATTTGTAAGTACTCTTAATTTTTAATTACCGTTATATCAATTTTTAACAGATTCCCAGAAATTGGAAAGTGTTGATCCGACTATTAAGCTTTCAAGTAAAAATCAAAACATTGGCGTTGGTAAACCAGGTGGTGGTGGCAAAAGTCAAAAGCTACGGAACATTGAAACTGTTCATGTAAAGCAGCTCGCAACACATGAACTCAGTGTGGAACAGCAATTGTACTACAAAGAAATAACCGAAGCCTGTGTTGGATCTGATGAAGCTCGTAGGGCAGAGGCTCTTCAATCGCTCTCAGCAGATCCTGGTCTACATGAGATGTTGGCGCGCATGTGCACTTTTATTGCGGAGGGAGTACGGGTTAACGTAGTACAAAATCACCTCGCATTGCTCATCTACCTGATGCGAATGGTCAAGGCTCTACTTGATAATCCAAGCCTTTATTTGGAGAAATATGTAATATAAGCCTTTATCTCTTTTTTAAACGTATTAATAAACTATTATTCTTATTTTGATGTATTAAAATATTTCGCAATTTTTAGCTTCACGAATTAATACCATCGGTTGCAACCTGTATAGTTTCTCGACAATTGTGCATGAGACCGGAGGTAGACAATCATTGGGCATTACGCGATTTTGCTTCCCGACTAATGGCGCAGATATGTAAAAATTTTAACACCTCTACGAATAATGTGCAAACTAGAGTCACACGTATGTTTAGTCAAGCATTGGCAAAGAATAATCAGGTAAATAACATAAAGTACTTAATTTAAAAAAAAAATTTTTTTCTGAATAGTTCAGTTCAATCTTGTTGTCAGTTCAATTTCTAGCACAAATTCTGCCTACTGTTTTACAAGGTTATTATTTGTTATAGACACCTTTGGCATCTTTATATGGGGCAATCGAAGGTCTTTGTGAATTAGGACCAGAAGTGATTAAAGCTCTAGTTATTCCTAAAATTAAGTCCATCTCTGAACGTATTGAATCATGTATCGAGGGCCAAGGACTATCTAGTGTGGATAAAAATGGAGCAGGACATATCAAGACATTACTTGTGGTAAAATTAATTTGAAAAACTACAAAACATTAGCAATTTCTACGTGCATAGAATGAAGTATAGATATATTCCCGAAATTATTTTTATACGCTTTTAATTTACATTTACCTCAATTTTCGATCATCTTGTATAAATTTGAGATGTATACTGAAGATCGAAATCGAATATAGGACTGCCAACTGTTCTCATAGAACTATGCGTTTACACTAAGAATATAAATTCTCTCTGTTTTGTTAATAAATTGAAGAATTGTTCTCTTCAGTTAGGAGTTTTTTAAATTAATTTATTTTATTTTTTTGTAAAGCTGTATAAAAATTTTTTTATTTATCATGTGCATGTGTGCTGCGCGAGCGCGCAGCTTGTCTATTTTCATAAAAGATTAATGTATCTAATATTTATTACATTCCTTTTAATAATTATTACATTCAATATTCTATTCTCTTATATTAATTATGCGTATTAAAGATACATTGTGTGATGCATTGTGCCTCTAGAAATCAGTTGCTCCAATCTTGAAAACAATAAGATCGCCACCAGATTATGTGGACGAGTATAAACAGGATTATGGATATATAGGGCCTGCATTGTGCGCTGCAGTTGTAAAAGCTCGCACACAACCGGCTGCTTTAACAACTACAGCTACAACTACAACACTTACCACAAATCAGCAACAAGGTTCTTCTAATTGTACAGGAAAAACACTTGTGCAAACAGGTATGGAAATTATTACTGATAGGTTATTATCATTATGGTGATATGTAAGTAATATTATACTATGTTACAGTAACCAGTTCGAGTACAGGTCAACAACCCGGTCGCACATTCATGCTTGGCACAAGCAGAAATACTGCCGGAACTTCCGCTACCGGTGGACAAAAATTTGTTATTTTACAATCACGCTCGCAAACTCCTACTATCTCCAATATAAATACCACTATCAATACTAGTTCAATGCAGCAACAACAACAACAACAACAACAACAGCAGCAGCAGCAACAGCAGACACAGGCACAAACACAACAACCACAGCAGCAACAACAGCAGCAGCAAGTTAAATTGACACAGACTAATGTCGCCCAACAGAAGACACATGTACAGAGTTCTACACCGAAATTAGTTGTAGTGTGTATGGCCGCTAGTAGTCATACTAACACATCAGTGACGCAGGTATAATATCTTAATTTATTCATTTACAATAAAATGTATGTTGATTATTAAATTTAAATAACTGCTATAAAACTATAATGAATATAAATTCAAATAATAAATAAATCATTCAAGCTGAGCTAGATATTTTTGCTATAAAATATCAGTATTAGGCTGAGATCAGAAGAAGACGCATTGAAGAATGAGATTAAAGATTGAAATTGAACCAATAAAAAAAAGCCAGAATTTCTTTGCCTTCATTGGTGAAATTTCAATCTTTAATCTTGAATCTCAATAGTCTGATTCTGGTCTTAAACAAAGCCAGGGATAATAAATCAAATATTTTGACCTTTAATATAGTCATTTAGTGTTAACACACTTTTCAGTTATATACTTGTATTACGCATACAATTATTTTTATAATTTTACTCACAAATTATGAGATTGTATGATATGCAATTAACGAGCAGATATTTTTAGGACAGTATGGTCAAATTGAGAAAAATAACTTTAAATCCATTGCACTGTCCATTTTATAACTTACTCAATCCTCAAGTTGACCGATTCACACTGTAGGAACTCAAATATAGTAAATAACTTTCTCTACTTTCATTAGTTACATACAACAATGCTATCAACTTTGTTTGTCTAATACTGATACATTTATGAGCAAAGATTTATCGACTCGAATAACTTTTTATTATTTGAAAATGTACACATGCACGCACGCACACACACACACACACACCACGCGCGCGCGCACACGACATCTAAAACAGAGTACCTATCATGGAACAAAGTCGGAATCCATTTCAACTTTGTTCCATGATAGTTACCCAGGTCACCTAAATAACTCGATCGTTTTTGATGATACAAAAAAATGTTTTAAATGAAAATAGCACGGTTTTAATGGAGATGTGTTTTGATTACATTACTTTTTGTCTAGAAGGAGGTACCAAAAAAGAAGTCACTCCTATTTTTTAAAATGGAATTACATGATTTTTTTACATAATATGAATCTTTTATCAATTCTGCATATAAAAGTACAAAGGTACAGATATAAAAAAACAAATAGTTTATGAGATATTTAATGTTTTATGTCAACATATGTCAGAATAAAGTATATAAAAACTGCTCCACTTTCATCTAAAACATTTTTTCATATCATCAAAAACAAGCGAGTTAAGTGATGCCTCGCCCTGTGTGCGTGCGGGTACAAATTGTATGTTGAAACATGTTGGAGCATGCAACGCAAACAAACCTAATATCTCTCGGTGATTCAGAGTTAAGAAAATCATAGATATGTATATATTAGATGAAATATAATAAAAAAATATTTATTTTTTAGCAGGCAAATCTTACGGGAAATTATAATATATATATAAATAATATAAAGTATATAAGTGTGTGACAAGAGACGAAAATAGAACTTCCAATACAGTTGTATAATACTTCCTTTCTCTCCCTTTCTCTCAAACATAGTTAATACATTCTATATATATATATAATATGAGCGTGCGTGCGCGCGCGCGTACACACACACAAAATAAGAAAATATATCTAAATAAAAAATAAACTTTTACAAAAACATTGAATTAAGGAGCTTCCTGTATATTTTCAATTTTTAAATCTAATGAATTCTCTTTTTTTTTTATTTATTCCATTATGAATTTTTTTTTATCATCTATCATTTGTATAATAAATACGTTTTTTATTAGGAAAGATATAAATAATTATTATAATTAACAAATTAATATTATAAAAATAGATTTTATATTAAATAACATTTGCTTTATTACAACTATAATTACAATTTTGTATATTGTAATTAAATATACGTTAATTCTAAATTAAATTATTCTCTACTTTTCGTAAAGACTGTTGATTGTTTTTGCTTCGTCGGATCATATTTAAATGTCTTCACTATAGGACCCTTACCAGCACTGTTAAATTGTACTATGTCTGCCCGTTCTCTATCAGATAATTGCTTTGTTATCTTTAGGTTTGTCCAAGCTAAAACAGATATAATACAGATTTTTAAGGTATCATACTTTTATAAAATGCATATATGTATGTGATACATTATTTGTATGCGTAACTGATTATTTTTTATTTATATTTGTCTATTATTTTTGCTACATAAAATTAAACGTTTAGTCAGTTTTATATTATTAAGTCTACAACCTAATTCTCAGCCATTTTTCGACCATACTAAGTTTCAATGTAAAATTCTAAAAGAACTAATATTAACTTAATTAAAGTAATTTTCTTCACTTTCAACACATTTTCGCCATCTTTCAGGAAACTGTCGGATTCCTCTTCGGAAAGAATTGATTTTTATTTTTAGCCAATGAATTCTATAATGAAAAAAATTGAAATTGCTATCATGAAATCTTTAGAACCACTTTTTACATGTATTGTATGACACAAGAATTTCCGTCTAAAGCCAAGCAAATCATTTCTTGAGCTTCTGTGGCATTTTTCTTCTGATAAAACGCGAAAAAGAGGTAGTGTCTCTCAAACGTTGTTTTCCGAACGACATAGTTTCTGCTATTATTTTTTGAAATTAGATTTGCAGCACAGATACTTATTATACCTTATTTTAAAGCTTAAAGATGACGCTTTAAAATTGTATGGCGAGAAAGATTCAAATTTGAATAAGTCTATAGCCGATTGAATATAGAGGCCGAGAATTAAATTGTAGACTAAGGGTCGACAGGAGTGACCCAGAGACCTCTAGTCGAAGATGAATTTTTTATTCTCAAATTCTAAAATACTGGATGGATCGCGTTTTAATTGTGATATTCGTAATTAGGAAAGGCTCCTGAAGGCTCGTACAGAGCTATTTTTTTGTAAAAAAAAAGGCATAACAAAAATATTTCTGGTCTCCATGGGTCACTCCTGTCGATCCTTAATAACAGACTATTCCATAGCATTGATTTTCCAATATATTGTGATGTTCGATATACATGATACATATACATATATATTATACATTGAGCAATACTTACATTCCTTCACTTCATTAACAAAACCTTTCTTTTTGGTGGATACAGTTGGAGTATCACGTTTTATTACGATAGGCATACCGAGAGCTTTTTTTATACGTGGGACTTTTAGAAAACCAGTTTGTATCAAAGACATAGTGTTTGTTGCTACCCAATATGTCAAAATAGTCTACAAATATGGATAAATGCGATAAAGAAAATTCAGAGAAAGAGCATATCAAATGTGAAAGTTATTGTTTGCATTGAAATTAAAATATTTTATGATATAAAAGTCTTTACATTAATTATTCTCGTATTAATTATAACAAAAATATTGATATTATGATACTTACACCAGGGAAATGCAACATAAACGGTAATGCGACAAATGGCACAGCTCGCAAAACATATCGCATTATACCCATCGCATGGATATTAGTGCCATCCGTACCGAGTTCGATTGTGATAAACATTGTTATACTAGTAATTATTGGCATTACATAATAAGGATCATATATTGTAAGATCCTTTAGCCACAAAAAGCCACCGTCTTTTAAGCTCTCTACAGGCAAGTTTGCCATTTTTCTCAATGCAAAGAAGAAGGATATGAATACTGGTGCCTGAAACATTAGAATTATAATTAGAAAATTATCTTTTTTACACCTTTTTACATATATGAATGCGTAGAAATTTTACATACCTGTATTAATGGCATCATAAGGTTCTGTGCAAAACTAACATTGTTCGTTTTCAAGTACTTCATCATTTCTGTCGCTATTTGTGCACCTATTTGAAAGAGGACACACTGTACTTTCTTTATAGTGAGATTGACAAACTTACAGTTTTTTTTATCAAAACAAAATTTCGTCAATACGAAATACTTTTAACATACTTTCCATATGATCGCCGGTATTCCTGGCTTGCGATAATCTCGTCTGCATGTCTTGTATTACTGGCATATGATTTTTAAGTTGAATCACATTCTTCTGCCCTTTTATCACTATGGGAAATAGAAGAGTCCTTACACAAATAGTAGCTAAAATAAAAAAGTTAGATTTGTGATAATAATTTTTTAATTTTTATTAAATTAAAATAATTATCTTGCAATAAAAAAATAGTACCTATGACAATTGTCAACCACCATGGCATATCTAAATTTATGTGCATATATTCCAAGATATTTTGTACAATCCCTGATGGAGTCCAACCACCCAATCCTATACTTTCAAACGTTGGTTCTCCATTCGGATGCACTTTCACAATATTTTCTATCATTTCTTGTATTGGTGTCGGAGGATCTATTATATATAAACTACAAATTAACAAATTTCGTAAAAATAATTTCTATAATTTTTATCTCTCTTATATAATTACAATAAGAAAGTTTTAAGAATAAGAGAAAGTATGTTTATAGTCTTTTGTTAATATGTAAATTAATATGCATATGTAAATTAATAATTAATATACAGCAACTAGATGTTTTTTTTCTCAATATATTATACTTATCATAGTAATACATTTATAAAAAAAGACTAAGAAATATTAAGTTCAGAAGATATTCTTATACAAACCTGGTATTTCATCATATGGACTATTTTGTGGTAGTGTTTCATTTGCTGGAGTTTTATTTTCTGTGGTTTCATTTGTACTAGCATAACGAATCAAAGAGATTCCTGTAATTCTATAGTTTCTATGTAGATCCAATAAGAAATTATTTCTAGAAATCCTTTTTCCCTGAGTGATTAAATGAATACGTCTATATGTAACAATTTCCTAAAAAAAAATCTTTAAGTAATTAAACAAAATATACAGATTACTATAAGATATATGTATCAGTGTATATATAATATATACAGCAAGTGGAAGTAATACATTATATTTATAATACAGTTACTTTTTTAAATAAAAGGTTAATAATATAGTTATATTTTTTTGTAACAAATTTTATAGTTACTTTGTATATTTTGGATTTAACATAATTTCTTTTATATATTCAATCTTCAGTTTTTGAGTGATATTCAAAAATCGTTCTTACTTTTAGACTTCACATAATGTCTTAAGATACTAATATAGCTGTGATGGATTTATGATATCTTACAAACCATGTCTTATAAACCAATCACAGAACTGTATTAAAAAACAAACTTTATAAATATTAATCATTAAGTTTAACAAAAGTAATGCAATATGCTACGAAATTTGTGAAAAATATCACCTAAATTGTGTTTTAAAACTGGAAATTTAATTAGTGAGCTAGATTATTTATAGAGCTAGATATGTACATATAAATTTATTCTAAAATATAATTATGTACAAAACTTTAGTTCAAACTGAAAAAGTATTTTCCTTTTTAGTTGTGTTGTTACATATCAATCTATCGAAGTAATTGTTTATTACTCTCATTAATATTTAAACAAAAATATTATAAAATTTTTTAGATTGATCTCGTCTTTAAATTACAATATTAAAAAGTAACAAAAAAGTAATAAATCATTACTTTTTAACAATAACAGTAAAGAATTATTATTGAGAATCAATTACGAACGACAGTAATTAGTTATTATTATTACATCTAAAAATAACTTTCCATTCCTTGATTATATATTTATATAGACTATTTATATAAAAAATACAGAAAATGAAGAAACACAAGTGAAAGTAATAAATAAATCCAATATATCAATGTGCACAATGAAATAAATGTATTTAGTACAGAATTGTTAATACGTATGACATATTTTTTCAGAATTTGTGTTCATCAGATAGTCAATAACTATTGACTCAATTTCTTTTCCTTAAAACACAGATTTCATAATTCTTGTTACCAGATAATGATCTAACCTAACCTCTAAAAAGCCGCAAAAGTATTTTACCTGCGAAATCATGTTTGATTTCAACAATGCTTGCCGGCGAACGATTATAGATGACCGCATCAACATTTCTACGCCTTTCAATCGAAACATTGTTATAATCAGTTGTAATTCTCGATTTATATGGTATGGATATGAAACCTTTTTTTCGTGGACCACAAGGCGCAAAATGCTGCTGCGCACTACTGCCCTCTGAAGAAGTAGATGTAAATTACACAACAATATCCACATTCTACTTTTTTTACGACGTTTCTGATGGAAATAAATCGCTGAAATCACTGAAATAACTACATATATCAAGTTCATTAAAACGCAAGACTTCGAATATAAGTAACAAATAACTGTGCTTTTCAATAAATCAGAGAGACAAGTGCGTAAAATTTAAATAAATTTCGAACCTAAGAAATATCGATATGTTTGGACTCATATAGGTTATATTTTGAATATCAATTTCAATTTGAATAATGCATAATTCTTAATTTTTTAATAGATTTAAAAAATACACTATCATGCAGATTGTCGTTTAATTATGTTGTATAGTTATTTCTCCTATATACAAACGACTGTTATTTAAAGAGTGTTAATACAACAAAAATTTAGATGTTTAACTTGAGATAGTCATCTAGTGGAAATGCTGAGGAAATCTTTTCTAATAGTCCTGTAAACTCATTTGAATTAAAAAAGAATATTGAGTGGAATAATCTGCTGTAATAAGAAAGCAAAACTAAAATATTGTAAGTTATATAAGATTATAGAAATAATGTAATAAAAAGGATAGAATGTATTCTACAAGATGGAAATTTAATAAAAGAAATCTTAACTTTTTCTAGTTTAAAGGTAAAACTGATTTATTTCAAAATACCAAAACATTTAACAAGCAGCTAAACGGATTGTTGTGCGTTCCATTGCACTTATAGATTTTACAAGACTGGTTTATTAATTTAATTGTAAGAAATAGTTTTATGCCAAACATAAAAGATGAATTTATCGAGAATGAGCTTTATAGCCTTCATTATACCTGTTCTAATCTTAGGTAAGAAACAATTTGTTAGACTTAAAAAGAATTTTATAATTTTATGAATTTATATTTGATTTATTCGAATTAATTACAATTTTTTGTTTATTTATTTTTCATTATGTATTTGTTAGAAAAAAATATTCTTATATTAATAACTATCAACTATTCTCTAAAACTTTTTGAATGAATGAGCTACTATTTTTCAAGATTGGCTCAATTTTTATTTTTTAGAGTAAAATTCTATTCTAAAGAGAGGGAGAGAGAGAATTTAGAGGATATATAAACAGTTTTCAAATATTTAAATATATTGGTCTTTGCTATGCACAGATGAATAATATTTACTTAAATATTTTTATCAACTCTATAAACTATTTTTAGAATTAACACCAAGTGTATTATCTATAATTTTTAGTTAGTGTTATAAACAGTGAAGAAGTTACAGAAGAATTTGCAGCACAAACCATATCTGAAGATGCCTTTAATCAAGAAGAAAGTAATGAAATTCATATAGACAAAAAGAATCAGTCTGTGGAAATAAATGCTAAAGTTGCAATAAATGTGACCAATACTGTCTCAACTAATACTACCAAAGTTAACTGCTCATCAGAGAAAATTTACGGTCCTGTTGAGGTTCTATGAATTTTATATAATAAATAAAATAGCACGATATATATATATATATATATGTTGATAAAATCATGCTAATGAGTTATCTTTCTTATATATTTATTTTTGATACAGATTGTTAATGCAACAAGGCTCATGGAGTTATTAATCTTGGAACCTGGTCCATCAAATCGTTCTAGAAATGACAAAGATGGTAAACAATTACCAGGGACATGCGTCCTTGTTTTATTTTATGCCAGGTGGTGTGTATTCAGCAGTCAAGCTGCGCCACATTTTAACGCTATACCTCGTTCATTTCCTCACATTAAAGCTGTGGCGATTGATGCTATAAAACATCAAAGGTGAGCATACAAAATTAGAAAATAAAAAAAATACATTTAATGCAATCAACCAAATGTTAACATTTCGCTTGTAAATTATTAGGAAATTGATCAGAAATTTTATTCAAACTATCAACTGCGTCAATTTTATGTTTTGCCATTTAACATAGACTATAATCCACTTGATGCTTTGTACTATATGTTGAAAAAGAGTGATTGGTCAAGTATAATTCTTTCTTCCGATTGGTCAATTAAAAACTTTCAAGCATTTGTAGTGTCAAGTGAACTGCACCCTTCATGTGAGAGCAAATTATCCTCAAAAACCAAGCAAACATTGGTTTTTGTCAATTTGTCATTTTGTTATCAGAAAGCTTAGTATGATTTCTATTGATAATTTATACAACAGATTTTGTTATATATCTTCTACCAATTTCCTAACATCATCAAATATAACAGAATTCACTTAAATTAGGTATCTTTTGTTGGCAAGAATTGTTGACAAAATTTGTTTAGACTTAGCGCTAACTGGATTTTATTTTTTTAAATTAGAAAATGCGAAAAGAAAATTTATTAAATTAATTATTCTCTGTTTCTTCTCCTGGTATTCGAAATTGATAGTATAATTCCAAGAAAATGTATCGCTTTTAGCTTTAATGCTCAGTATGGAATAGTTGGAGTGCCAACATTGATGTTGGTCCACAATGGCAAGCCTGTCGCCAAATTCAATGACACAATTTACACCCTGGAATCGTTTGCTAAGTTTGTATCTCATTTGACGAACCTACAGCCGAATGGTTCATTATATGTTACATCAGCGGATTTTACGGGGCCAGTTTCAAGCACGCCCTCCAACGAAATGGACTACTGCCTGGTATTATCGTGGATCTTTATAGTTGCTTGCGCGCTGTACTTTACATCGCGCAGCAGATGGTGGCAACAATTTGTTGAACTCATTCAGATCACCTGGCTCGAAAGTAATGCGGAGCATGAACACGTCGATTAATTGAGGAGACTTTTAAATGTCCCCCTTGAAGTCCAGAAAGGAGATCCTTGAAGTCTCTTCCAAAAAAGTTATATGTCTGCAAGATTATTTAGCTTTTGGAGGCTGCAATCTTTTGGCTATAGAAGAAGAGGAGAACACATTGATTAAAAAAGGCACATAAATCGTATAGTTAATCACTGTATTTATTTATTGAAATTTTGTAAACATGTACATAGACGGGGAAAAATAAATAAGTATGTAAATATTAGTAAAAGGAATTCTTTAAAGATTAAATAATTGTTGAGTAATTTATATACAAAGAAATTAAATTGAATTATTTTTATAGCTAAATTTTTAGTTTAGTTATTACTAAAAAGATACTTTAATTGCAAGTTAAAATAATTACCCAAAATCAGAATTAGTACTCATGAATGAGAGTAAAATAATCTCTCACATTTAATTGTTTAATTTTTAAAATAAAAATGTAAATGTGCGTCAAGTATCTGCCAGAAAATTGTTTTTTTTAACCGTGGATTACTTAAGTCCATTATTGAAAAATATAGACTCTAAAATTATGTGCAAGAACTTACATTGGGCATATTCAGCGGACTCAACAGTTGAATAAACGCTCGCTGTTACTGGTGTATTCTTTTAGATCTAAAATTCTGATTGGATGATCTAAAAGAATACACCAATAACAGCGAGCGCTCACTCAACTGTTGAGTCCGCTGAACGCGCCCATTGGGTCTTTTTTTGTTTCTGCACTGTCTGAACTAGTACAGATGATGCAATAAGTTGAAGTGAAACAAATATACATTTGCTTAAAATTTTTTCCGAATTTACAAATGCAGCTAAACTACTAAAATAATATCACAATTAAATTTTGATGTTCAATAGGCATCTATTCTAAATCCGAGTAATAGGATGAATACAAAATTAATTCAATATGACGTCTTCTGTAATTTTGCACGGAATTTATTTTTTTATTTTTTTTTCATTTTTATACGCAACAACTACTAAACTTAACTCACTCGCTTAAAACGATAATCAAATATGAACAATGTATCAATTCTGGCTGAAATTTGACACAGAAAGATTTGAAGAATGATGCTTTCCAGATATCATATTATCAAATGTACTTCCAATAGTAGTAGTGAGGATTTTTTGCTTTATAGAAAAAAAAAAACTAAAAGATTAATGCGACACCAATCATTTAAAGATATATTGAAGTATACTTTCATATTTAGAAAATAAATTTAAGGAAATAGATATATTCTTCATTTTTGTATCACACGTTAAATAATTTTTTTTTCAAATATATAACACGTACATTATTGCCATTATCAGCGCCAGTAGAGAGCCTCTTTAATTGTAGACAACAAATATTAATTTGTACCTAGAATCGTTTATCAGACGAAATTCGAACTTTTGTTTTTAAAATATAAAAATTTATAAAAATATATATGAAGTCGCATTTTTTGTATCTGTCTACAAGTTTGCTCCCGCCGTTTTCATATAGATAGTTTCATACCTGTAAAAACGGCGGGAGCAAACTTGTGTTACTATAAATTGTTTTACTACTTAATAGAGTTACTTAAAAATAAAATTATATATAAAAATGATCTAGATAAAATTTTTTAAATTTTATCTTTTATCTGGATTAATGCAAAATTAATTATCTTTATCTTATCTAAGATACATTTTTGTGTGATTTATCTTATCTATATCTAGATAATTTTTAATTATCTAAGCACAATACTGATTGTGTATATATTTATCATGTTATAAATATATAATTTATTACCCTCTCTCCCTCCCTCCCCTCTCTCTCTCTCTCTC